CCGCCATTGCGCAGTGACTCGAGACCTCCTAATCAATCGGCGCGTGACTTTTGAAAGGGGCCTATGCGGACAGATATTGAGGGAGGAGGAGGAGGAGACGCGAGTTGGCGGGGACGTCAGAACATCGAGCTCGCGTTGGAATGATTAGTGGCATAGCCTCCCCTATATTCCCAAAGCCTGGCATTTCGACGACGGAGCCATAGAGTGCCCGGTCGCAGATTTGGAGCCCTGGGATCTGGTAGCATAGAGCATCAAAGAGCTATTTCTCGAGGAACCTGGACGTCAGCGCGCAGCTTTTGCATCGGCGAGGACCCGAAACACACTAATTCGCTCGGGAGAAGTGTGCTTGGGCGTCTTGCCGCAGCGGGGCGCCAGTCTCGTGCTGTTCTCTCATCCGTTATCTGCCGCTCCACCTTTTCCATTTCGGCGGCAGCTTCTCGTGGCGATCTGCCAGGTTTTGTCAGTATTCAGGAGGCTAATAAGGCAGTGGAGACAAAAGCAGCTAGTTTTACTCACTAATTATTCCAACCAGCGTTCGATGCTCTGACGGCCTCGCGCGCTCTCGTTTCCTCCTCTCCCTAAGTTTCTGCCCGGTCGGCCGTTCATGGAACACTCCATCGTCCTTTATAATATCTTGGACAATAATCGTTGCTTCTTAAATACTAATAAAAACATATAAATTAAGAAAATTGCTGCTCAAGAGACTGTGAATCGAAGACTTTACTATCCCATGAATAATTTAAGAAAGGATTTACGCTGACCTACATGGATGAGAAGCATATAAGAAATTGGGCGTAAAAGCGAGGCTACATAAAACATCTCGGATAAACGCAGTTTGAAGAGGGAACCGAGGACTCGTCAGGCTGCACTTATGCAGCTTTTTTTTTTCCCCTCTGACTTCTTCCATCGTGCACATGATGGAAAATAATACATTATTTTTATTAATATTACTGTGACTATCATTATTATTAGTAGTAGTAGTGGTAGTAGTAGTAAATATATTTTCTCATACAAACCTCAGTTAAAAAAAAAAAAAAGAAACTTAGCGCGATCGGTATGCGTGTCCGTCTCTTTCTTGTCCTTACGGTATTCTTTTTTTACGTTGTTTCATTAAGTTTGGTTATCATCGACTCGCCTCCATTATACAGATCTTGTATTCAATATATTTGCATACGATCCCCCATTCTATGAGTTGTATTTTTCTTTCGGCGTAAAAAATTGTATTCACTTCAACAAGCATAAAAACGCAGGTTTTTCAAAAATTATTTTTTAACAGTAGTATATAACCACACCCACCAACGAGGTCTAAAAGTTTCGTTTACCCTGAGCACGCCGCTTCGCAATGCGTCTGCTGCAGTTTTTGTTTTATTATTATTTATTAACAGAATGCGTTATAGCGCTGGTTTCCATAAGACGAACGTAACGTTATTAAAAGAGCGTGGAAAAAAAAAAGCGTTACATGGACGCTCCATTTAGCGCGTTTACGTCCATGTCATATATAGAGGGACGTTACTCCGGTAAAGTTGGCGGGTAATGTTTCGCCAAATAACTCAATGAATTAGCATCAATTATAACCGAACAATCAATACAAGGAGATAATTTTACGCGTCCTTCCATTGCACAGATTCTGTGCCTCGGGGCTTGATCCTTAGGACTAAAATTTAGATTTAAATAATTTATCTACACATCAAATCCTCATAAAACGGATACGAATAAAACCGCAATACCGGAATATAAAAGATTTATAAATGTGTGTATACGTTATCATCGTACAAAGAGTGGGCTTCTGAATACGGAATAGTGATAGTGTTTCCATCCGTTCCTTGGTGACATTTCAAACAGAGAAGAATTTAAAGCGATTCTCGCAATTTCTAATATGCTTTTTCTTTCTTTTATTTTTTTTTTTTTTTACAGAAGTCTTGTTGGTGCGTTTTATACTACGGTGACACTTATGTGCGTTTCTTTTTCCTTCGAGAATGGACAATGCAAATTTGCCGCGTAGGTTCTAGTTTGATTCGTTGACAACAATGTTGAAACTGACTCCCGCGTGTGCCTGTATAGCGATCACAATACACATGCGCAAGCTTATCAAGGCAGCTTCGCTGCGCCGGCCGTAGAAATATATAAGTGAGATCTATACAAAACTGCGCCTTACGCACTAACGTGTTTTCTTCTTTTTTTTTGTGTGTGTGTGAAAAGTATTTCATATTGCCGTTTTCGTAAAAATGATATCTTTATGTTACAGTCATTTTGAATACCTTCCCACGATTCAATAAAAGATAAGGCACTTCTTTTTATTCTCAGCGCATTAGTACCTGCTGCTTTCTGCCGTTTCCTAGATCATCTTGTTTGACGGACGTCTGGTACAATAGACCGATCTCACTAAGCGTTCCGCGTATGCGTGACGCCGCCATAATTGTAGTTCACGGGAGGCAGGCGACAGCGTACGAGGCAGCTCGTGCCGTCTCGTGCTCTGCTCGCAATGACCCGCAGCAGGGTTGTTGCGCGCGCAGAAAGACTATACGGAGAGCAAGTCGTCTGCTTCTTGCGCGGGAGTGGCAGTGACGTCAGAACGACGTCGAGCTCTGATTGGCTTGGATTGAAAGGATAGTGGGTAGACCTGAATGCTAAATGCCTCGAGATCTACCCACTATATATATATATTTTTTCAATTACGCAATAAGAGCTTGGCGTTCTGACATCATCGCACCCCCTGTGCAAGAAGCAGACAAACTTGCGCTCCGCATACAGTTCCCACGATGCGTGCCGGCAGCGGTAAGGTAACGAACCTGGCTGGTGATATCGGTCTACTGTCGAGACCGGTAATAACGAAGTCGGTTATAACAAAATAGCGGCTACAGCGAAGGGATCTCCAACTCCGATTGACTTCGTTATAACCGGCATCGACAGCATTAGGTATGCCAAGTTTTGTGCAACCTATCAACCTCCCCTGCAAAGGCCTTCAAGAGAGGGCTGACAGTATCGATAAATAAATAAAAATAGATAAATAAATAAATAAATAAATAAATAAATAAGGTGACGCATTTTCCTAAATTTTTTCGCGACGCCAGAGAGGCGCGACATTTCCGGAGGTATACACAGCCGTCCAACGCAAGTTTCTCATCAATAAAGTGAAGAGATCGAACGACCTTAAGGCAGTAGTTCGACGCTCGCTGGCAAGGAGACGCGACAACGGAGGCACGCTTGCGCCGTTCGTCACGTGAACGTCGTGTTCGGATTCCAGCGGTCACCGACTCCAGCAGCAGTGCGCCTGCTCCGAGAATGTCACTTCCCCGCATCGCAGCGCTGTCGCCTGGGAAGCGCGCAGGTTGGCCGCAAATTGCGCATGCTTTCGCTTGTCGCGCAACGAGGGGGAAAGCAGGCAGACACGGAACAGAGGCGGACACGACCAGCGCTTTCGAAACCTTCTCGCAGCTCATACTGCAAACCTGACTCACGACCCACTTGGTCCCGATCGAGCAGTTGGAGACACTCCGCAATCTAGGCACACTGCTCGTAACCAACGCGGCTTGCACGTGACGTCATGAAATCGCCCCATGCTGGTGGTGACCGTCCCTGCTCGTTCTTGCCAGAGAAAACGAAACTCCACCGTAAGAAATGTGTGCATCACAATGTAGGCGTGCACAGCAGGAATGCCGGCACAATGGCACCAACGGGTGTGACGTGAATGCAAACCGTGGCCGATTTTTTATTTTTTTATTTTACAACGTATTTATGCCCGGGATCAACATTTCAAACCTCCTCGTTCATATTCTCTTTCCCCGTCATCTTTCGCTGCGTATGCACGAGAGTTCCGTGGTCGTGCTGGGAGATTAATGGTATGCACAGAGGCCTGACTTCTTGTTTTCCGTTTTTAGACAGAACCCCACTACGCACGCACGCACACGCGAACACGTGCACGCGCGCGCACACGTACGCATGCATTACTGATTTCGCGATGGTATGTGTAAGGGTTCTGGAAAAGACGGCTGGTTTCTCGATCGGCCGGGCGACGGTCGTCTTGTCCGGCGGCGTGTATGATGCTCCCTCCCCGGTCGTTTTGTGTAGTTTTGCTTTTCTAACGGGGGACCGCGTGGGTCTTTCTGCCGACGCGGCCCCCTGGAGAGCGTCTTCCTGTGTCTCCCCCATCGGGATGACCCCTCGGGAAGAGATGTTGTTTTTTATTTTGAATCTGGAGGCTTGCGCATTCTACGGGGCTTCTTGGGTTTCAACCTGGGGGTTCCGGAGAGGCGCCGCTATGTCTGCAACGGGATGCACGGACGAAGTTACGGAGCTGTCGGCTGTAGTCCGTTGGCAAGTTAACGAATGTGTATCGACGCCCTTGCCAACTATTGGACGGTGGATATCACGTGGCTCCAGCAAAGCTTTGAAATGATTGGTTGATCCTCGCCCGAGAGTGAGGGGGTCAGCGTCTTCAAAAGTCCGTGACGGGGGAGAGAGAAGCCCCTTTCTGGCTTGGACTTGGACTAATTTGGAGGACGGCGAATTCCCTTTGCTTTGTATATACTGTGTACAATAGCTCGTCACGTCTAAATAAACAGTTTAGACGAAGTCCTCCCGCATCTGTCGCACTCTTCTGATCACCCACCGAACAAGGCTCATCAAACGATTGGCCCCGCAAGACACCGCCGGGCAATCATCATCTATTCAACCAAGGAACGAACCTTTACTGGCGCAGCCGACAGGATTGGGAACTTTTGAAAGCTCAGAGCAGTAAGGCCCAGGTGCAACGGGAAGGTAAAGCAGCCTATCCTTGTGAAGTTAAAGAACAGAACGGCAGAAAAGATGAAGACAGCGAAGCACTGGCCTGTGGGATTGGCTGTGAACAGGACGCTGGCGAGCTCCGCCGGGAGTCGGAGACTCGTAAGATCGAGGAGGCAGATCAGTCATCTAGCCAGAGGGAGGCATTTAGAAATGCGCAACTAGCCGATGATAGCCTAAAGAAAGCCTGGGAAGATGCCAAGATCGGAAAGTCGGGCATGTTTGTAGCCGATGGACTTCTTTACCATTGGGACTCAATAGCAGGTGTAAAGGTAAGACAACTGGCTCTCCCCTCGGGCAAGCGCGAAGAAGTATTGAACCTAGCTCACGAGTCGCTGTGGGGAGGACACATGGGGATGAAAAAGACTAAGGCTCGAATAAAGTACAATTTCTTTTGGCCTGGTATGGAAAGAGAGGTGTCGGAGTACTGTAAGTCATGCCATGGGTGTCAGACGCGTTCGGACCGGCGGCGCAGTGACAGAGTACCGATCACCCCGCTTACGAGGCCTGAGCACCCATTTCAAGTGGTCAACGTGGACATTATAGGGCCTATCGAAACGCCATCTGCGAGGGGCCATAAGTACGCGCTGTGCTTAGTAGATCTGTGCACCAGGTGGCCAGAAGTCATCCCGCTGCGCTCGTTGACCGCGAAGGCAACGTGCGACGCGTTGCTTGAGATTTTTACTCGCACAGGGATCCCAGAGACGATCTGTTCTGATCAAGGGACTAACTTCACGTCCCAGCTCACGCGAGTGATGCTGGAGAAATTAGGATGCTGTCCTAGATTTTCGACTCCCGAGCATCCCGAAAGTAACGGAGCGGTGGAAAGGTGGAATCGGGTTCTAAAGAACATGTTATTTCATGTCATGGAGAAAGATTCTAAAAACTGGGATAGGCTGATTCCCTTTTTGTTGTGGGCTTACCGCGAGGTTCCCCACGACACAACGGGAGCGGCGCCCTTTCGTTTGCTGTATGGACGAAATCCGACAGGGCCACTGACGATCCTGCAGCAGACGTGGACGGGTGAGGTAGCGGTACCGGCGACGCTGAGGGAAACGCCTTCAAGGTACCTAAAACAGCTGCGCGAACAACTCGAAATAGCAGCTAGTGTGGCTGAGCTCACTAGTACAGAGCGTCAGGGTGGTTACGCCGAGGTGTACAACAGAAGGGCACGTAACAAAGTGTTTCAGGTGGGTGATCAAGTGCTGGTCTTCGACACGGACCGCGCCACTAAGATGGCACCAAGGTGGCGGGGTCCGTTCACAGTCGTTGGTCGCGAGAGGCAACACTCGTATCGGATAGAAACCGCTGTGGGGAAAACCTCTGTAGTCCACGCAAACCGACTGAGGCCCTACTACGCAAGGGTAAGCCATGTCGGTGTAGTTTTCGACGAAGACAGGGAGTTTGGGGAGGTTGAATATGCCCCTCAGGCTGCGCCCCCGTGTTCGAACGAGGTGCTGATGCCTCCAGAGAAGTTAGCTCATCTCGATGCGGGGACGCGGGCTGAGGTGCAACTGATATTTGAAAAGCATCGTGCACTTTTTGATGGAAGGCCGGGAATGGCGAAAGTGGGCCAGCATCGCATTGACTTAGAGGAGGGAAATCGACCGAAAAGGGCATTTCCCTACAGGGTACCCGAGCTACTAAAGAAAGAAGTGAGTCGACAAGTACATGAACTTCTTGACTGGGGGCTTATCTACCCAGTAGAGAGCGACTTTGCGCACCCGGTAGTATGCGTAGGAAAAAAGGACGGGACAATGCGAATGTGCATTGACTACCGAATGCTCAATGCTGTCACTCGTGGGGATGCTTTCCCAATGACTAACCCACAAGAATTGATTCTGCGGGTGGGTCACGCTAAATTCATTACGGTAGTTGATTTGAGGCGGGGGTACTGGCAGGTGCCGATGGACCCGAAGAGCCAATCTCTCACGGCATTTGTGACGCATGAGGGGCAGTACGCTTGGAGGGTGATGCCTTTCGGGCTAAAGAACTCAGCCGCAACCTTTCAGAGGATGGTCAATGCGCTGCTCTCCGGACACCAGTCATACGCAACAGCGTATCTTGATGATATTGCCATATTTTCCAACACGTGGCAGGAACACATGCAGCACATTGACAGTATCCTTCAGGTGCTCGGAGAGGCAGGGTTGAAAGTGAGCCCTGAAAAGTGCCAGGTGGCACAAGCGCACATTCGCTACCTCGGACATGTCGTTGGGTCAGGGACCCACGGTCCGGACCCAGAAAAGATAGCAGCAATCGAGGGTCTCGCGCCGCCACAAACTAAGAAGGAGTTGCGAAGCCTGCTCGGGTTATGTGGATACTATAGAGAATATGTCAGGAGCTACGCAGAAGTTGCCGGCCCGCTGACTGCGTTGACGAAGCGGGGAATTCCTAACTTAATTCCATGGCCGGAGGATGCGCAACGCGCATTTAAAAGTCTTAAAGACTCACTTTGCGAAGCGGTGGCGTTGAGCACTCCCGAACCTCATCAGCCATACTGGATTTTCACCGATGCGTCGGCAACTGCGGCGGGGGCATGTCTCGCACAAATGTCGGAACAGGGGAAGGAGAAGCCGATAGCCTTTGCGAGCCATCGTTTCAACCCGACACAGTCGCGATGGTCGACTATCGAAAGGGAAGCCTTTGCCATCATCTGGGCTTTAAAAAAGTTTGACTATTGGCTTTTCGGCGCTGTGGTGAATGTTGTCTCTGACCATAACCCGCTGTCATACCTGACAACGAGTACTCCACATGGGGCAAAGCTGGCTAGGTGGGCCTTGGCTCTTCAACGTTACAATGTAACAGTCCAGCATAGGAAGGGAACCAGTAACGGAAATGCTGACGCGCTGTCCAGGCTCCACAATTTATCTTGGGAGTCGGCTGAGTGATCCTGCCATGCCGCCTCGGTTGGACGTGAATGTTCCCGCTCACCCGTGCCGCAGGGCGCTGTGGGGCTGTGAAGTGAATTGGCGAGTCGAACTTGAGGACCCAAAAGGACGTTCTTCTCGTTGCTGTTGTGAATACGTTCAATGCTAATGTAACGCTGTTTTTTCTCTTTGTGTGTGTGTTGTTTTACAGCCTTTGGAATGTCACGCACGCGTTTTGGCCCATTTTTATGTTTGCACTGGGGCATTCCGGTTTGTTAAAGTAGAATCTGTTGTTTTTATGTGTTTTGTTTTATTGTCAGCTTACGATTATGTTTGCACGCTTTGAGTCGGTTCTGAAGAACTTCACGTTAGTGTTATCTAGTTTTATTTCTTTTGCGTGTGTTTAGATTAACTGTTTAGCAGGTCCAAGAAGGACCAGAAACAGTCTTGGGGGGAAGGTGTAAGGGTTCTGGAAAAGACGGCTGGTTTCTCGATCGGCCGGGCGACGGTCGTCTTGTCCGGCGGCGTGTATGATGCTCCCTCCCCGGTCGTTTTGTGTAGTTTTGCTTTTCTAACGGGGGACCGCGTGGGTCTTTCTGCCGACGCGGCCCCCTGGAGAGCGTCTTCCTGTGTCTCCCCCATCGGGATGACCCCTCGGGAAGAGATGTTGTTTTTTATTTTGAATCTGGAGGCTTGCGCATTCTACGGGGCTTCTTGGGTTTCAACCTGGGGGTTCCGGAGAGGCGCCGCTATGTCTGCAACGGGATGCACGGACGAAGTTACGGAGCTGTCGGCTGTAGTCCGTTGGCAAGTTAACGAATGTGTATCGACGCCCTTGCCAACTATTGGACGGTGGATATCACGTGGCTCCAGCAAAGCTTTGAAATGATTGGTTGATCCTCGCCCGAGAGTGAGGGGGTCAGCGTCTTCAAAAGTCCGTGACGGGGGAGAGAGAAGCCCCTTTCTGGCTTGGACTTGGACTAATTTGGAGGACGGCGAATTCCCTTTGCTTTGTATATACTGTGTACAATAGCTCGTCACGTCTAAATAAACAGTTTAGACGAAGTCCTCCCGCATCTGTCGCACTCTTCTGATCACCCACCGAACAAGGCTCATCAAACGATTGGCCCCGCAAGACACCGCCGGGCAATCATCATCTATTCAACCAAGGAACGAACCTTTACTGTATGTTTCCAGAAAAGGAACCATCAAAGCTAGTTCACAAAACCCCGTTTTTTTATGTTACGTTTAAGTAGGGTTTTTTGTCTTCGGGTTTTATATTTTTTCAAAAATCCGAGATAAATATTGGGGCGCTTTCTTCAAAGCTGGTAAACCGGGGAGAAACCGGGTTTTTCAATCGTTTGTTTTGCAAATCGTTTTTTTTTGGTTATATTTAGAAGTAAAGATACACAAATAATGTTAGAGTATTGATCAGTTTAAGCATTCTAACATGATATAAAAGCTCACTTAGTATTTTAATTTTTTGTTTTTGTTTTTGTAAAACCTTGTTGCTTGCATAGTCATCTGCGTGCGTGGCACCTCTGTCTTCATCCTAGACCTGTCCGGCTCTTGAACATATCCAAATTGTAAAGAAAACGTTATCTCGACATCACAGCTTTCACAAAGCACAACGATGTATGGAATCTGCTGCCCTAATCAAAACAAAATTAATCATTTTATTTATTTTTTTTAACTGTAAAGGGAAAGGGGGCAAATGATAGTTCGTAACGGACTAAAAGACGGCATTTCGGGGCTCGATGTGTCATTGCAGTTCAATGAAGTCAAAAGAATCTAACATCTTTTTTGAGCTCTGAAGCATATCCTCCACCTCATGAGTTGGGTGCAGCAGAGGCAAAAGCACAGGCGCCAGCGCGTCACCTTTCAGGTGCGCCTTCCTTTCACAAGCACTAGCGAAAAGGAAAACAAATCTGAAAGCCATGTGCCCGCGCCTTTGCCTTTGCTGCACTCCGTCTCGAGACCCACGTCTCGAGCCGCGGTTTGAGTCCCGCTCAGCTCGTGCGCTGGCTTTGGCAGTGCCTTCTTTCCCACAGTCTCAGCTGAGACGCTGTTTCTTGCGAGCCCGTCCAGGGGGGCTATGTTGCACGTTTTGGACTCCCAGGAGACTTGGGAGAAGGAAGTGACGTAGGTGTGAATGAACGTATCTTCTGCAGATACCGTCATCAGCGACTCCACCAATCAACATCCAAAGAGCGTTGTTGACGTCACTTCCTTCTCCCTAGTCTCCTGGGAGTCCAAAACGTGCAACATAGCCCCCCAGAACTATAAAAAGAATTTCACCGTTGCAGTATCGTTCTCCAGATGGCCGTCTTCCGAATGAATCAAAGGCTGCGTTTACATGGATGCGAACGTAGCGCGTCGAATCGACATTTGACCATTTTGATTGATAGCAGATGGGTAGAAGAGGAAGAAGTAGAAAGAGAGGCGGCGTTTGACTGGTCCCTGCTCGATTTGACGCGCTACAATCGCATCGATGCGTGAACCCAGCCGACGAAAGACAAAAGCAATGTCGTTTTCTAGACAACGTTATGTCTTTAGTTTTTGTAGAGCGTTGGATGCCGCAATTATTACTCGCGTTAAAATTATCCGCGATCTAGCAGTTAATGTAAATGCTGCAATTTATTTCAATAGTCACTTAACTTCAATTCCGAATACGTCATTTGGAGTCCTCGGTGCCAACATGCTTATTGCACGTATAATTTTTTTCGGAAACATTTTTTTTTCTGCGCTTGTTTTGTTCACTTGTACGTTCCCGCGTCGATTACGGCTCGGCTGTCTGGAATTCTATTCGCTCAATTCATTCAAACAAGGTTGAACGCGTATAAAAAAAAGAAATAAGGTCGAAGATATTAATATGATTGATACCTTCGACCTAATAATTACTTCAGAGAGCAAAGGATATGCAGACTGGGGAATTTAGATACCTTGTGCAACAGGAGAACCATACGGAATTCGGCGTTCCTGCATAAGGGGATGAAGGGAGTTATCGATTCAACCTTGCTGCTCAGCTACACTTGCTTGCGTCTTTCTCGAAGGTCTACTGGACTGCGATCATTGTTTCATACTTCTGATTCGCATCACGCAGCACACATGACTCGCTTACTATTGACACAGTATGACTATATTGAACAGATCGCTGCGAAATGTTTCATGGCATACGTAGCATACGTAAAAAATCTACGATATAAAAAATACCCGGAAAAACACACCATCGGTATAAATTTTGGTGCTACGCTTCTTTTTACGCGGCATGTGCAAAAGGTTAAAGAAATGCCCCCCAAAAAAGTAACCCATAAGAGTAACGCGAATGTGTAACACGCTGAATTTAACGAACTTACGTAACCTTAAATTAAGCAAGGAGCGTTTTGGATTTAATTGGAAATAGGATTGGTGTATAATCATACATCGATTCAAGTTTTCCCGCTAAATTTAGAGGGGAAACGCATCCTGCTACGTTTAGCGAGACGTTAAGTTCGCGATATGTATACCGAAATAGACCTTTCTTTTTTCTTATTTGCAAAAGTCTGTCGAGCAACATTGGCGGTCGCCATTGCTCGGGCAGGAAGCGCGTGATTGGACCCGAGCTCTCACAGAACGCTGACGTCACGCTCGTGTCCAATAAGCGCTCACAGCACGTGATCAAGCAATGGCGGACAGGCGTTAGCGCGGACTTTCGAAAAAGGGTCCACTAGTGAGACTCCCCATAGTCGCCGACAGGGTGAAAACGGTACGGTGCGCCTTCCGTCGTGCTTTAGCTGCGCGCCCGCGCTCGAGGTGCACCAGTCGCCGAAGAAGTCGAATTTAGGAAGCTCCCGCTGCAGGTTTGGACAACTGAAGCTCACTCTCTCCTCGTCATCAATGACATATTCGCAACGTTCACGGCCTTTAGGGAGCGCATTATATAGTTCCGATCGAAATGGCTGTCGTCTCGAATGATCCTCGTAGAACAGCAGCACGAGGTTGGGTCCGGCACACGTGAGTAATTCTAATGTTGCGAAGCGCGAGCGATATAAGAGCCTTACCTACATTGTACTTCACCGTCGGGAAGCTGTAATCATGCACCTTCATACTGAAGCCGATCGTCCACGAGCCGTAAGAAGCGCAATTCTCACACCGGGGTCGCCGAAAGTCGCGCGTAGCTCTTCGAAAGTTCATAAATAAACACCCAGCGCAGCTCAGAACTGCGCATCACGTGTCTTAATCGACCTTACACAAAGAATTAAGATGTCTTAATTTTTGTTTTTTCTCCACTCTTACATCTGGATGGTATTTAAAATATATCTGCGCGTCCGTTTTTATGCAGCACAACAGAACACAGAGTCACGGACCTTTGCGGTCGCTTATTTATTTTATTTATTTATTTAAAATACCCTCGAGGTAAGTGCACTGAAGAGGCAATAGAGCTACAAAACATCAACTACAAAGTGGGCAATTACACGTTAAACAAAATATCAGTAGTTCAAGGAACCGAGGCGGGAAGGTGGCTCCAGTCTATCGATGTTGGAGGCAAATATTGAAATAACGATAGTTCTAAAATTTGGAACACCAACCTTATACCTATGATCAATACCGAGCGGGCATGTAGAAAGGAGGGGTAATTAGCTTATGACAAAGAATAAAATTGTGATTAAATATTTTAGGACTTTATCTTTTTCCTCTCCACTGATAGCTCAAAATTATATTTGGTTAATAAAGAAATGCCCCCTCCCCTAACCCAGGCTGTCGAACCGAAATCTGCATCGGATCCGGTTTGGCTTCGTGTACGCGTCTTTCGCTTCATTAGCGGTTCTGCTCCGACAAAGTATACAACTGACGGCGGTAATAGCGGTTTGAACCGGTTTGAACCGACGTTCTGGTAACATTTAATTTTTCTTCGGCGTCGCTTGTATTTTTGTTTTCTTCTCTTTTTCATTAAACAATCGAACGCCGCCGCCGCGTGCGGAGAACTTTTGCACCCTTTATCTCCCTGTCATCCTTCGCATTCAACGGCAAACAAATCATCGCGCATCCAAAGACGCAAGTAGCTTCTCAGCTATTGGCCGAACTAAAAAAAAAAGAAAAAAACTTGCAGGTTCTTTTTCTTTTTTTTTTTTTGCTTGCGTATAGCAACAAGAGCGCGCGAAGAGAAGATTGGCTAAAAAGAATAGCAGTCTTCATTAGACTTGTGTTCATTTCCATTAGACAGTACTCACTCTAAGTCAATAATTACTTGTCATCGATTACGTTTGGGAGAAATTTTGCAATTATTGAATTACATTTATCAGGACGTAATCGCGAAAGTAAGGTCATTACTTTGGGAAGTACTAAAATTATTTGCAACCGAGACTATTTTCCCCTGCCCTTTCTAATGGCACCCCTTTGTTTGAACAAGTTTCCTTCTTCGTACCAAGTATCCTACAAGAGGAAGGTTTTACCAAAATTGCTCGATTAAAAAGTAAGTAGTTTATTGTTCGGCGATTCTAATCCAACAATGGACAGTGCCGAGAAAAAAAAGTTTTTAAACCTACAGAAAAAAAAAATTGTCGTTTCGAAGATCTGAAGTAATCGGAAGAGACATCGCATTGACACTTTCATGGTGTCAATGTGATGTCCACATCAGAGTTGAGTCCTCACGTGCCTTATCCCCACGCTCCAATTGGTTCACCGAGGCCACAGCTTTACCATGTCACGCCGAAATCGCAGAAACTCGCTTGTTGACGTTATTGCCCCCAGAGGCGGTGCTGACGTCGACGAGCCCAGAAGACGTGGGCCGCATGAAGAAACGCATGAGCCGAGTGCATATTTATTTATTTATTTATTTAAGTATCCTCAAGGCCCTGGGGCATTACAGAGGGGAGTGGTACAAAACAATTTTGGAACACAAAACAATATACAAACACTAAAAGCCAAGCTTTTTTTGCTTCGTTTGGAGCTTTTTCAGTTTTGATAACTGCAAAATTTGAGTCCGATTATTGAGTGGAAACTGTATTATATACGCGATGTTACACTGCTTTACGATTATAATTACAATTTATTTTCCAAAATTTTTTATGTTGTATTTATGGCAGAAGAGAGTCACCACCAGGACGAGATACAGGCAACAGGAACTGCGCACGCTTTTCAAGTAATCCTTCAGAGGAGCTTCAAACAAACAATGAAGTCGATTTCGCTTTGAGATGAAGCAAGCAGGTCGCTATTTTCCCTTAACGGAGTTCCGAAGCGATTCGATAAATTGGTGTCGCTAGAACGGCATCGCTATTCTATCGTTCGCTCAAATGAACACCGCCTTTCGCTAAAGTGTCGTTCGTTGAAACATCATGGGCGAAGCTTCGTTCGCTAAAACGTCGTTCGATGAAACATCATGGGCGGAGCTTCGTTCGCTGAAACGTCGTTCGATCAGGTCAGTGCCCTCCCAGGTTGTACCCAAGTCAACGTTAATCACGGCACATGGTAGTGTGCTAATACTTCAAGATTTAGAGTTTCTACGATTTTGAAGAAGTGAATAGGAAAGTACCAGTAAAAAGTAACTACACTTAGTTACAACTTACTGGAAGATATGTATCTACGTTTACAGATACAGATACCGAGAAATGAAAGTACCCACGTTTGTGCCTCAGGTACAACAAAAGTACCTAGACACTCGGATTTCCAGTTACTTGTACCTAGGTACTTTACAACCCTGCATATCTCGCACGCCCAAAAACACGTCCCGCAGCCCGGTGTAGACAAAAAAAAATGCGTATGCACTTACCCAAATCCACTGCTTTGACTCAACTCAAGAACCCCATAGTAAAACAAAGCCCGGCTTGTAAAGTGGTCGTTTACTCGTAAGGTCGTTGTTTACTATACTCTATTTCTTGGCACGCTGCCGGTATTGCTGTAGCCGATGATCACACGACCTTTTCTTGGTCGTTAACCAAGAAAAGGTTTTTTCTTTTTTCTTTTTCTTTTCGGACTGTGACGCTCAGGTGAAATAACTCGGTCCATTCTCTCTTCACGCTGCTGAGCGCCGCTCCCTCGTCAGCCTCTCTCCTCCCCTGGTGTACGTAACTCGGATGAACCTCCTGTAGTCAGCCCGGTTGAACTTGTCTCGTCACCCCATTCAGACCTTCGCGGCCAATCGACCCCGCTCTCGCAAAGAAAGACTTAAAAACACACACACGAAGACAAGCAGACACGCACGCACGCATGCACGCACACACACACACACACACGCACACATACACACACACACACACATATATATATATATATATATACATTATTCGGGGAAATAGGTTTTTGAAGATATTTTCCGTGTACTTCCGGAGGTGTTTCTTTGTTTGTCGTTCCGCTAAATGAACAATTAAAGGGGCACTAAATAAATTATTGAGTTATTTACCGATATACCGATACGACCCCAAAAACACCTTTAGTACCCCTACAACAACATTGCTGTTGCTCTTGACACGCGCTAGGTTTCTCAAGCGAAAGCACGCGCGGTAATGACCGCAATTAAACACGCCCTCTATCCTTACAAAAGGTTGCGCATAATAGAGCTGCATGCACCGTTTTATAAGAATACGTAACTACGTAGGGCGGGGTTACGACACCCTGTGATATATAAGAAACAAAGAAAATCACAAACTATAAAAGAAAAAAAAAACATGTATGCGGCTCCCTTCATTACCGTTCACTCGCTTTCCTGTGTATACAATCAGAATCTAACTTAGCTAACCCGCACCGCCGCGTTTGTTTGTTTGTTTGTTGTTTTTTTTTGGTGGGGGGGGGGGGGGGGAGTGGGGGGCGTTAGTTTAGCGAGAGTAAGTACAACTGGTTGGTCGCGTGACGGCGAGGCGGGGTTGGGGCCAAGATCAGAGGAGACCATCTAGCAAAACTCGAGGAGAAGCTTCCCGAAACCCCAGACCCGCCTCCTTGCAAGGGTTTTGGAAGACGGGCGAGAGTTCTTCTGACTGGAGTGAAAACGGACACCGCACTAACACCATCTCACGTCGCATCTTAGAGCCAAAGAGAAAGATCCGGAATTTGGTCCAAGTGCAACATGGGCGTCAAGGCAGGCATTTTTCACTCAATGGAGTGTTCAGAGTACAAACACATAAGGGCAAAACTTCGACCCACAGACATCGCATCTGTGGAGGGAGGACACATCCACCAGGCTCCGAGACTGACAGACCAAGAGTCTTGAAAGGTCTCCTGGATTTTATCTCTGAGGCCGAGCTGGACATAATCATTTAGATTTAGTAACCTTTCCTTAGTGCCAGCGTCCTGATCTTTATATCACCGGCACACTCTCTCATTCCCTTTTTTCTTCCCTTTTTTTCTTTTACTTTTCTCCT